CAGATATCATAATAAGCACTGAAGATAAAGCAATGACAAAGTCATACAAAGTTCTGTCCTCAGAAAGCTTACATTCTAGATAGGAATTGAGAAGTTCTGTGGAAGTTGAGAGACAGTTAAAGTTTAAACATGTATGTGAGGGAAAAGGAAAGTAAATATTCAGTTTAGACTCCTTAGGACTCCAACTTTAATATAATTCTTCAGCCTCAGTGGAACCTTAATCCAGTGAGTCTACCACTTTCATTGTCATTCACCCCATTCATGTTCCCACTTGCTAACTTAAATTTCACAGCCAAGCTCTGTAATGCTTTTATTTCATGCATTTTCATCTCTCTGGCTTCTTTTTTGCTTTCTTTGCTTTGTCATGCTTATTCAGCTTACTCTCAAATCTGGTTAAATTCAACTCTACCTATCCTATTTCTATGCTCATGTAGCTGATTATGGCTAGAGAAAATTATATAACCACACTAAATTGTCTCATTTTACCATAAATCATCACTAAATTCAAATGGGCTCTTATACTGCTAGGTAATCACATTATATTTTCTTAGTCCTTGCTGCTGTTACTCCTGGACAACAACTGCATGTTTTCTTTTGTATCCTTTTGTTTTTTTGTTTGTGTGTGTGTTTTGTTTTGGTAGAGATGAGGTCTCACACTGTCACCAAGGCTGGAGTGCAGTGGTGCAACCATAATTCAATGTAGCCTTAAACTACTAGGCTCAAGCAATCCTCCCATCTCAGCCTCCTGAGTCGCTGGGACTACAGGCATGCCATCATGCCTGGCTAACAATTACATATTTTCTCTAGTCTCTTCAAACCTCCAAAACTTACGTTCCTGTTTTCAGTTTCAGTAATCGCCATGTGTCCTCTTTCGTTGAGAAAATTGAAACAATCAGATAAAAACTTCAATAGCTATCATGACATCTATCAACCTACCTGCTTGTATCTCCATGGCCTGCATATTCTCTCCTATTACAATTACTAAACTAAGTTTCTAACTAGGTGATTCACTTAACAGAATCATTCTATCTCCTGGGCATATCCTAAAGGGAATCAAAGATGCAAGCAGGGAGAGCAGTGAAGAGGTTAATATAATAATCTGGATGAAAAATGAATAGAGGCTTACTTGAACCAGATGGTAGTTATTCACTAGACTCCACCTATACTGTAGGCTCTACTTATACACTAGGTTCCACTTATATACTAGACTCTACCAGCTTTCACCTACTCAAGAATGTCAATCTAGCAATTTTTCCTTTGTTTCCTTTATAATGTTTTTCTTTCTACTAAATCATAATGTAAATATGTTGTCATCTCTTCTATTAAAAAAGAGAAGCAATGGATCTAGGCTCTGTTTTAGTCATAAGCAATATAGTAGTGAATTAAATAGACAAAAGTAAAATTGCCTTCTATGGTAAAGATAGATACTATATGTTATAAATAAGTAATTATATGGGATATTAGTTAGTAATAAGTACTAAGGGAAAAATTAGAGCAGAAAAGGAGATAGGAATTCTTGGTCATTTCTCTGGCAACATATTATAAAGGCTACCATTCCTACCTTAAAACACTTCAAATTCTAGAATGCTATTTTCTCCTGATTTTCTTCCTACCTTCTAGCTATTCTTTCCCAATCTCCTTTGCTTGTTCCTCCTCCATTTCAGTGAACCTAAACCAGAATGCCCCAAGACTGATTCTCTGAACTTTTTCTCTTTATATTGAAGTGCTAGATGAATTCAGCCAGCTTCATGCCTTTAAATGTCATTTGTAATCTGATGGATCATACATTTATATTTATAATCTGGACATATCCCTAAATTTCTAATATATATCCAGCTATTTGACATCCACTTGGATGTTTAGTATCTCAAACTTAACATGTTCAAAACTGAGCTCCTGGTATTCCTCTCATTGCTCCTACATTTTCCTACATCTATTCCATTCTTCCAGTTTCTCAGGTAAAAAACATTGAAATCATTCTTGACCCCTATATTTCTTTCACACCCTAAATTCAATTTGTTAACAAATCCTGCTGGCACAACCTTTACAATATACTCAGATTCTGTTGCTCACCATCTCTACTCTTACCACACAGTTTGAGCAAGCCTCTATCCATTTTTCACCTAGACTATTATACTAACCTTCACTGCTCTCCTTACTTCCAGCCTTGGTTCCCTTTAGGATATGCTCAGGAGGTTGTGTGATGCTGTTAAATGAAAGTTAGATTATATCGCTTCCATTCTCAGAATCCTTACATCTCATGATAAGTAAAAGTCTAGGTCTCTACCATATCCTAAAAAAACCTACATGATCTAGCTCTACTTTATCTCTCTGATCTTACCTCCTATGAATCTTCTTGGTATTCTAGAAAGTCAAGATCTATAAAGAATCTGAGATTTTATTCTACTTGTAAGCTAATAAAATTAGTTTTCCAGTTTCATGGGTGCTGATAGAAGACACGAAACCCTGGATCAGAGACAAAGGATAATTTATTATTCACAACAATCATAGAATATCAATATTTTGTGCTGGTTTCCTGAACCGCAATTCCCACAGGATGATGAAATTCCCTTCTTTATTAGTTTGCTCAGGTTGCCATAATGAAATACCACAGACTCAGTGGCTTAATCAACAGAAATTTATTTTCTCACAGTTCTGGAGACAGAAGCTCCAAGTTCAAGTTGCCAGCAGGGTAGCTGTCTAGTGAGAGCTCTTCCTTTGGTTTGCAGATGGCTGCCTTCTTGCTTTGTGCTCACATGGCCTTTTCTTTGTGTACACATTAGGAGGTGGAGAGAAAGAGAAAGCATGTGCTCTGGTATCTCTTTTTAAAAGGACACTAATTCTATCAGATTACAGCCATACCTTTATGATCTCATTTAACCTTAACTATTTCCTTAAAGGCTCCATCTTCAAATAGATCCATAGTGGGGGTTAGGGCTTTAACATAAGAATTTTTTTACAACGAGTTGGCAGCAGATGCAAACATTCAGTCTATAACACTATTTAAAATTTAACTACCTTTCCCCAATAATTTCTATCTTCTTTTCTCCTTTAATTTTTTTCCTTAGTACTTATTACTATCTAATATCCCATATGATTACTTATTTATCAGACATATTATCTATCTCTACCATAGAAAGTAAGTTTTATGAAGGCAGGGACTTTTGTCTGTTTTATTCACTACTGTATTGCCTATGATTAAAATAGGGCCTAGAGCACAAATACGTCTTTGATACTATATGTGTTGATTGAATAAAGTTGTAGTGGCAAGGCTGGTTATTTGGGGAAGCTGGAGTAAAGTTCACTCCTAGCCAGTGAGATCTTCTTTAAAAGGAAAGTCCTAATTAATTAATTGTGTAATGAATTACTTATGGTAGACTGAATAAGATTTTCTTATTGAAGCCCTTAAGTTTAAGCTTACTTTGTACCTTCTGAAGTAGTAGTAGCTGCTTATAATTTAGATTTACTTGAGTTTTTTTTTTCCAGTTAGTAAAGATTGCAGAAAGAATCCTAAAAGATTAATAATACATTGTTTGGAAACCTTAAACCCTGTATAAACCTAATGAACAGAATATAACCAAAGCATTTATGACCACAAATTAGGAAACAAAGCAGCTGTTTTGGCAAGGGCAGCTTATTGAGAAATTCATTTCGATGCTGACAGCTTGTATGGAATGAGTATAAGTAAAATTGCTTCCAAAATGTGGATTTCTTGTCTTTTTAACCTACTGTCAGCCATCTCTAAATCAAGGATGCAAAAATACACTCAGAAAAGTCTATCTATGGCAGGTAGTTAAGAAAATTTGGTTTTACTGAATAGCAGGATCAATCCTAGGTTAATTTTAATTAAATCATTCTTCATAGCTCTGGCATTTTTCCTTCATGGGAGATTGGGAGAGATGTTCTTTTATCCCTTGATCCTTAAAATGCAGTACCTAAACTTCTAATCCCCTAGCCTCTTCAGTTACCCTTATATACGTTTATAGGTTTCTTAATTTTAAAATGGATTTAAAAACACAACTAAGATATTAGATCATCCCAATATACTCTTTTCAATTTGATAGATTTTAAGGTCTTTATATGTACTTTCTAAATGAATATATTTTTATCTGTCACCTTTCCTTTTCAAGTCTCTGTTGCATGTACACCCTTGAGGCATATCAGTCTAAGCTAACGTACTCTCTGCATAACATAAAAGGACAAAGGAAAGAAAAAGCTAATAGGATACTGCTTAGGGAAAACTCTGGAAATACCCAAAGATCAATAGAGCCCAAACTTCCTCCTAAGCTTTATAGTATGTTGTCCTCCAAGACTGGTGAAATCACGTGTAGACATAAATCTGGCATACATTGTCAACCCTGGAGAATCCAGGTGAGTAAAACCCCTCTCTGTGTAAAGATGCAAAAGCCTGCCTAAGAGTTGAAGGTAGTAGTTTTGTCTTTTTTTATATGATTAAAATTGCCATTATGAATTCTAGATATTGAAATTTCATAACTGTTCAATTTTGAAGAAAAATCAAGCATTTTCTAGCAAATTAGCCTATAAAAAAGAACATGGAATAAGATGGTGTGACTATTCTTCAGTTGAAGTTATTTCAATAAATAAAATCTGTACATGTTTAAAATTTTCTTTTTTATAAAAGGATTTAAAGGGGAACCCAAGAATCCTGGGGTAGGAATCAGAAAAATCTGAATTCTAATCTAGGCTTTGACCTTCCTTGCTAAACTTTCATAATCTTTCTGGGTCTGTTTTTTCTTTTCTTTTCTTTTTTTTTAATATAATGAGAAGGTTTGACCAGTTGATATCTTAAGCTCCTTTTAGACCTAACATTCTATGATTCCAACTTATTATACTAGATGAACTCACAAATCTACTAATTCATATACATTAGTGTAATATTATGATTCTATAGGTATAAATTGTCACAATGTAAAACTTTAATTGCCCATAGATGCTTTAGAACAAATTGACATGTCAGTGATGTGCAATTGTTTTTATAGGTACATTCCTCTCATTGAAAGGAGCTGTGCTAACATTCTCCTGTATGGACCGAACTGGCGGATTAATGCAACCTCCATATGAAGTTTGGAGGGATCCAAACAACATAGATGAAAATGAAAAATCTTGGAGAAGGAAAGTGGTAATGAACTCATCGTCTGCATCCCAAGAAATAGGAGATCATCAGTATACAATAATCTGCTCAGAAAAACAAGCCAAAGTCTTCTCACTGCCTTCTCAGACTTGTCTTTATGTTCATAACATCACGGAGACATCTTTTATACTGCAAGCAAATGTGGTGGTCATGTGTAACAGTGCCTGCTTGGCCTGCTTTTGTGCTAATGGACATATCATGATAATGAGGTACTTGCCTTCTTATAAATTATCTGGTAATCACAACAATACCAAAAAGGTACAATTCTAAAAAGTATATGTGTTATGTCCAAGATGTTATTAAGAAGCAACCTGAGATTATTGTTTCATTATGTTTCTGAATGTTTTATTGTTCAATAATTTGATGAGAGTTTGGGGTGTTTGTGTTTTGTTTTGGTTTTTGGTTTTTCTTTTTTGCTAAAAGTGCTTCGCATTGTGAGTGAAATATATTTTAATTGCTATAAAGAGATATAAGAAAAGAATGATTTTTCAATCATTTAACAAATATTTATTGAGCATATGTTATCTCCTAGATGCTATGCTAAGTACTGGAAATAAAAGATGAATAAGCTAAATGGAAAAGGAGTTAACTCTTACTTTTCCTAAGTTTCATACTTCACCCAAGAATTCTTACATACAGAATTTCATTTGATCTTAGAACTTCTCTAGGGCATAGGAAAATAAAGTATTATTTTCATTCTCCATTTTACATGTGTTAATAAATTAAAGTTACACAATTTGCCTGAGGTTAAAAGTCTAGAAAAAGTGAGACCATTTTTACTGAACCATATACTAAAAGTTATCAGACACTTTTAAAATAAGGTATCGCCCAAGAGATTTCATTCTACTGTTAGTGAAATTAAATAAAACTTATGAGACACAAAAATAATTACCTAATGATTTTATGAATTCCACAAATAGCTCATAAACATATACCATATAGATGTCACTGCCATTCTTTTTAATATCTCATTTATTTCCAAAAATTATTGAGACAAGCATTATACTAGGTCTGTGAAGGATATAAAAATTAGTAAAACATGGTCCTAACCCTTAAGAAACTCACTGTCTAACTAGGGAGATAAGACAGATACACAGACATTAGAACAAAAAGAAAATGTAAATTCCAACAGAGGAAATATGGGATTAGCTATAACTTAAGTTCCCAGAGTTCAAAGTCATAGCATAGTTGAACATGTATTATAAAAGAAGAGTTATAGAGAGGCGAATAACATGGAGAGGTAGATTAAAGCAAATTGTTGAGGACCTTGAATGTCAGGCTGAGTTTGACATTAATCAATTAATAGGCAATGAGCTTTTAGGAAGGTAATTAACCTTCTCTAACTATGTGTTAGGATATATACATGGAGGGCAAGCTTGAGATAGGCTTTTGAACTGAAATGGTATCTATACTGAAGGCAAGGAGGGAACAGGTGTAAGGGAAACTTATTGAGTGCAAAGCTGATTGGTTGTGAACAATAATGGAGATTGTTAAATCCTGAGGTTAGAAGAGAATTTAAAGGTTAGAAATTTTTTTGAACTTAGGTAACAGTTATGTTATTAGTATGTAGGAAAGTCAGAAGGATTTTAAAAAGTGATAATGAGAAATTTAAGAATAAATTCAGAATAACTATTTGAAATTTGAGGTGTTATAAGCCATTCAGCAGAGATTTAGCAATAAATTGAAGACTTACACTCTTAGAAAAATATATGTGGAAGATCCAGCTTTGGAAGTCATCTACGTAAATGCACCAGTCAAAGTTATGTCAGCAAATGAGGTAATCAAAAAAGATAGCATAAAAAGAAATGAGAAATAGACTGAGCTAAGGATAGAAACTTGGGGGTATTCTACATTTATGTAGTGAAAGAAAGAAGACAAGGCAGCAAAGGAGATTAAGAAGTCATTAGAAAGATAAGAAAGGACCAGAATTATATAACTTCATTAAATAAAAAGAGAAGAATATTGAAAGAGGTAGTAAAATATAGTGGAGATATCAAAGAATTTGTGTAAAAGAAAAAAAAGAGTAGATCTCACAACTGGTGGGATTTTGATAACAGGTCTTAGCAGCATGGTGGAAACAAAAGCTAATTTTCAAGGAGACAAGAATAGAAGCAGTGGTGGATCAGGGTTTGGCAAATTAATACCCACAAACTACCTCCATTCCCCTATCTGATTTTGTACAGCCTGTAAGCATTAAGAAAGGTTTTTACATATTTAATGGTTGAAAAAATTATAGAGAAGAAGAGTATTTCATGATGTGTGAAAATCATACTAATTTTAAATGTCAGTGCCCATAAATAAAGTTTTTTGGGGAACATAGCCACACCCATATTTCTGTATATTGACTATGGCTGCTTTTGCACTACAGGGCAGAGTTGAGTAGTTGCAACAGAGCCTCTATAGCCTAGAGAGACTAAAATATTTACTATCATAAATATTTATAGGCCTTTTCCCTTGGTATTTATTATTCTTTCAGAAAATTTTGTGGTTAGAAATGAGACAGGAAAGTTGTTTAAGAGTGAAACTAGGTTTTGAGAGTGTTTTATTTTTCTTAATAGGGAAAATATGAGCGGGTTTGTAAGCCAAGGAAAAGTAGTGAAGGAGAAAGTTTTGAATAAAAATAATCATTTTATGGTCTGTTCATTTTCTCATATATTTCTGATTCTTTCCTATCTAGTTTCCCCTTTCTCAAACTGTTTTTGGATATTTAAGATTGATAAGGTCATTTCAATCTTATTTGAAAATGATTTAACTCCCAGACATGGCTCAGATTTGAAAAAAAAAAAAGTATATTTGTGTGTGTGTGTAAATGTGTGTATCTCACACACACATAGATTGAGTCATTGATAAATGGTATCTGTCGTCCTCTGTCCTTTATAAAAGCTGCTTGACATGATAATGGCTACTTTGATATTATGTCGTAGTAGAAATTCCTCATGTGTTTCTGAGGATCCTCAAAAATATCTGAAAAGGAAATAATTTTGATGTTATTTTAATAATACATATACATAAAGTGTAGCTAGAAAACAATGGTGTGTGCTCTGCTATGTGGTTTAAAGAAATGAATCCTACAAATTAGCATGCACCTGGCCTCATTCATTTTCCCATACTGAGTATATTCCCAGGATCTTTCCAGACCCTATCAGAAGCTAACTCTCGTAAGCCAAGTTTTCTCAAGTCCTAGTTTTCTGATACATATCAGGTAGCTAGTTAATTATTACTTAGCTCCTAAGTACCCAGACCTAGAAAAACAAGTTTGAGAGAGGAGAAATAGGTTTATCTTTGTATGAATTCTCAAACTTGGCTTTACAAGCTACTTTTTGGGGTTTACCTTTAGTTACCTGATGCTATTTCTTTATTAAAGGGTCCTGCATATAAGAAAGTATTTTTTCCTCTGTTTTAAGAGCAATTGTTTTCTAGCAGTTAGCAACTGACTTACTCTCTTTTCCTATCTGAAGTGACTACACCTCTATAATTTTCGTTCCTTGGCTTACTTTTTATTATACAATATAGACAATGTAGCCCATCAGAAAAGTCAGTTGGAATCTCTTCCTCAATATGAATGAATCTATCATGGAAATATTTTTAACTGGTATTGTTTTGGACTCATGTCTTAAGAAGCTTAGTTACCAGAGTGCTATAACAGATCATCTTTTAATATCCTTTTAAGATACTAGGTAATTCTTTCATCAATGAAGCTTTTGGAATCCAATGTGTAATTTACATTTACAATGCATTTCAATTCAGACCAGCCACATATCAACTGCTTAATAGCTACATTTGGTTATTGGCTACCATATTGGACAGCACAGTTCTTATTCCAATAACACAGATTTCAGATCCCATTTTACATAGTAAATTTCCATGGCTCAAAGTATAGTTACAAACCACTTTGATAAAGGAAATCAGTATTTTTTTTCAAGGTGCTGGTTTTATGATCTGGGACAACTTAAAATCATTGTGCACACTTAGAATCAGTATAATGGTTTCAAAATTTATTTAATTATAAGTTTACCTTTTCCCTTTTGGCATTAAAGGTCTGAATAAAAAGCAATGAGACTAGTTTTCTTCAGTGGTTTGTAAAACTGGCTTGAACAATAGTATCCAAAAGGACATTCTGATGAATATTTTAGCAAAATTATCAGCTACATTAGGATAAGCTTATAGCTATGGGGTAAGACACTTCAGATGTGTGGCATTCATTTGGATGTGCAAATTCTCATCTATTATTTATAACTTAGTCTCATTACCTTACAGTCTTGGCTATATTTACTTATTAGTCATGCCTCCAGTGCAGTTGCCCTAAGTTATGGTTAATTATTATTTCCTGTATATACAGTAAAGGAATGGGGAGCAAAGCCATTTTATTTCCAGGCACAGTGAACTGGGCCCACACTGCAACTCTTGTCAGTTTTGCCTTAAAGAAAGACAATAGAACAAGTATGCAGTCAGACATTTTCTAGCTGTGGTGTTTCTGAAATAACCAAAGGCTATAAATTATACTCTAGGGGCCGGGCGTGGTGGCTCACGCCTGTAATCCCAGCACTTTGGGAGGCCGAGGCGGGTGGATCACGAGGTCAAGAGATTGAGACCATCCTGGTCAACATGGTGAAACCCCGTCTCTACTAAAAATACAAAAAATTAGCCGGGCACGGTGGCGCGTGCCTGTAATCCCAGCTACCCGGGAGGCTGAGGCAGGAGAATTGCCTGAACCCAGGAGGCGGAAGTTGCGGTGAGCCGAGATCGCGCCATTGCACTCTAGCCTGGGTAACAAGAGCGAAACTCCATCTCAAAAAAATATATATATATATACTGTAGGAACATGTGAAGTGCAACAAAAAGTGCCCCTGAAATTCTGGCCACTGCATGTAATCCATCAAGAACATTTGCTAAGCATCTATATGAATTAAGATAAAAGAACCGTGCCTATGATTTTTTTATGTATGTGATTTTATGCGAAAGTCTAGTTTATTATCACTGAGCCTTGAAGATAAGAAGAAACAACCAGGCCAGATATGGTGGATCATGCCTATAATCCCAGCACTTTGGGAGGCCAAGGCGGGTGGATCACTTGAGGTCAGGAGTTCAAGACCAGCCTGGCCAAATGGCGAAACCCTGACTCTACTAAAAATACAAAAATTAGCCAGGTGTGGCGGTACATGTCTGTAGTTCCAGCTACTCAGGAGGCTGAGGTGTGAGAGTCACTCGAACCTGGGAGGCGAGATTGCGGTGAGCTGAGGTCACTCCACTGCACTCCAGCTTGGGTGATAGAGCGAGACTCTCAAAAGATATAAAAATAAAAAAATAAAAATAAACCACCATAAAACAATGGTATAAAAATCACTGTTTATGTAAAAGTCTACTTCTAACAACCTGCATGTGATATATGGATTTACTTTTTTCCATTCAGCCTACCTAGTCTTCGCCCAATGTTGGATGTTAATTATTTGCCACTGACAGATATGAGGATAGCACGAACATTTTGTTTTACCAATGAAGGACAGGCATTATACCTCGTCTCTCCTACTGAAATTCAGCGGTTAACATACAGCCAAGAAATGTGTGATAATCTACAGGTAGGTCAGGAGGTACATTTATGAAAAAGACATTGGACATGGTTGAGAGAATAAGAAAGATGTCTAAAAGCTAAAATATTATTAGGTCAAACAATACATATGCCCTTCCAATAACATGTTTTGAATTCTTCATTTTGAGCCTACCAGCTTCTAGAATGTTTCTGGTCATTGCACAGAAGTACTAAGAAAGAGGGAGACAATGTAAAGATCATTCATATTAATAGCTAATCTTTTTATTTATTTATTTTATTGCTTGGTTTGCCCATGGAGAATCTTATAAAAGATTATAAATTCTCCCCTCAGGGTAGGAAATATGTATGTACACACAAAAAAAATAAGGTTTCTTCAAAAGAGCCCTTGAATTCCACTTGGAGTTCAAGGACTCCTTTGAAGAAATCTTAATTGTGATTAAGGGACACACAAAATAAACATATATCCTGTGGGTTAGAATTGAGCATTTGTCTTTGATTGTAGCAGTAAGCATAGCCTAGATAGAGGATAGGTATAAATGTCTAAACTTTGGTAAGAATGGTCACAGTTTTTTAAAAGCATCTTAGACATTTAACTGGGTAAACCCCCCCATTTTACAAATAAGAACATTAAAACGTATTTATTATTCTATAGAGGTTAAGAGCATAAGCTCTGAACTACTCGAGCTGTATTTTGGCTCCTCCATCTGTGTGACTTTGGGCATTTTACTTAACCTATCTGTACACTCTACTTTGGAGCATTGTCATAATTTAGTAAGAATTCATATAAAGAACTAAGCTCAATGCCTGGAATATATTTTTAAAATAAATAATAATAATATTATTATCATCACCATTGTCATTCAACAGATTATTTATTGAGTTTTTACTATATGCCTAATACTTGGCTAGACTCTAGGAACACGCTAATAATTAAGATACAAGTCTCTGCCTGCTAGTGTGGAGAGACAAAAGTAAACAGACAATCACACCACACTGTGAAAACTGTTATGTATAGCTGTGGCAGTACTGGGGAGACGTATAAGAAGGACACCTGAGTTGATGGAGCAGAAGGGAGGCGGTTTAACCACTTGACTCTCTAAGATGCTTTTTTAAAATTTTGTGACCATCCTTACTCAAGGGTAGATAAACTTTTACAGCTATCCTGTTTCTAGTCTATGCTTACTGCTACAGTCAGAGACAAATGCCCAATTCTAACCCACTGGATATATTTATTTATTTTGTGTGTCCCATAATCAAAAGCAGTTGGTTTGAGAAGGATTGTGGGCACAACTGACTTCCGAATGGTAAATAGGAGTTATCCAGGTGACTGAATGGTTGGGAGATGAAAAAGGTAAGATACTCTAGACAGAAGTAGTGGCATGCAAAAGCCTCAGGGCTAAGGAACCTGCCAAGAAAGTGAGGAATTAGGAAGTGAAAAGAGTGGAGATGTTGTGCTGGAGAATTAGTCGAGTAGATCTTGCAGCCCTTTGTAAGCTCCTTAAGGGATCTATTATAGCATTTATCCCAAGGACAGTGGTAAGTCATTAAAAAGTTTTAGCAGATTTGTTTATTAAAATAAATATTCTAGTTATAGTATGGTGGTTGGTTTTCAGGAAGCATCAGGATGGAGAAAAGTTAGCAGATTCAATAGCTATAAAGTGTCCAGTGCCCTATTTAATAGGGCAACTGGATTTAGGGTTATTAAATATAGGAGTGAGGGAAAGGAAGGAATTAGTCATTTCTCAGTTTCTGGCTTGGGGAACCAAATAGATGATGCTGCCATTTCCAAAGAGAAGGGCTTCAGGAGAAAGAGTACAGGTCTCAGTAGAGGTAGAGGAGATGATGAAGTTAAAATCATACTGGAAGTTCATAGAAAACCAATATTAGGTCACAGATCTCCTGACATATCTAAGGTCCTTTCTCCACACTGACGATTCTTAAACTTTGGTCTGCTTTAGAGAGACCTGGGGAGCAAGGTATAATCTTGAGAAATGAAATCATCTATGTAGATTCTGATTTCATACATGTGGAATGCAGCCTGAATACCTGCATTTCTAACAAGCATTTCTCTAGTCATTGTAAAGCTCGCCAAATATTGAGAACAATTGTACTTCACCCTATACAGAAGCTGCCTATTTTGACTCATTTAAATTATCTTTAACAATTTTATAATTTTATACTTCCTAGAAAAATAGATCCAACCTTCTACATACCACCAAAGCTTTCCTATTTCATAGGGCAGTCTGTGCTTGGTTCAGGGAAGGGTACCAGGATAAAAAAGAGACTATAGTGACTGAAAGAGGATCCAAAGTCTAGTGGTAGTTATTGATCACAGGTGGAAATTAATCATAGGGTAGATAAATTGGCTTCCCATGCTTTCTAATAGTGGAGGGAAGAAGAAAAGAGCACAGATAAAGGGAAATTTTAGAACATGTGTTACTATAGAAGGGGAGGAAAAGGAGATGGTAAAAGAAATGCCAGAGGGAGAACTGTGAGCACAGCAAAAATAACCGTGAAAATATATGAAAAGCAGAGTGTCTTTTCATGATGTGTTCTAATATACCACAGTGTTACCTTTTTGCATATTAATTTATTTTTTTAGTTGTTCTAATCTGTTTTCTTTGAATTTGATACAGGACATGCTAGGAGATTTGTTTACTCCCATAGAGACACCAGAAGCTCAAAACAGAGGCTTTCTCAAGGGACTGTTTGGGGGAAGTGGACAAACATTTGACAGAGAAGAGCTCTGTGAGTAAATTCCTGATTATAAAAATGCATTGCAAAATAGAAGACATGTTTCTGTGTATATTTGTGTGTAACTTAATGTAATATGTGATCTCAATTTCTAAACTATGTATTTTTTGCATCTAAAAGTTTGAATATTTGTTTCCTTCTGTACCATAAAAATTATTTCTGTTTACCAAACATGAATAAAAGTGGTCACTTCAGATTAGGAAATTGCTTAACAAAAATGATACATATAATTCATAAAAATAATGAGCAAGCTAATAAATATCTCATTTGCAAGTAGATTATACCTTCATGGCAATGTGAAGGCATTCAAAAAAGTCTGGAAAAAAGATTTTTGAATCTGCCTGACTTTAATAACTGCTGGAAAACAGATTCCTTATCTAGCATGTAAGATTTATCAATGCTACAGAATAAATTACTTTAAAAATCTACCAGTGAGACAAAATCGAAAAGTATTGCTGTTTATCAAAGTCTCACTGGTAGATTTTTATTTATTTGTTTGTTTGTTTATTTATTTATATTTTTATTTTTTGAGATGGAGACACATTCTGTTGCCCAGGCTAGAGTGCAGTGGCCTGATCTCGGCTCACTGGAGACCTCTGTCTCCTGGGTTCAAGCAATTCTCCTGCCTCAGCCTCTTAAATAGCTGGGATTACAGGCACCCAACCATGCCTGGCTAACTTTTGTGTTTTTAGTAGAGACGGGGTTTCACTATGTTGGCCAGGTTGGTCTCGAACTCCTGACCTCGGATGATCCACCTACCGCAGCCTCTCAAAGTGCTGAGATTACAGTCATGAACCACTGTGCCCAGCTTCACTGGTAGATTTTTAAATAATGGGAAAATACTAGGTAAAATTTTCAGAGAGAAGGCATGAATATATTTTCCAGAATATCCTACCATCATTTGGTCTTATAGATCAAAATTCTCTTTCTTTGGAACTTTTAACTATGCAAAAACATCTAGGTTCCTTTGTGCAATAGAATATTATTCAGCCATGAAAAGAAATGAGGTACTGATACATGGTACAACATGGATAAACCTTGAAAACATCTTGCTAAGTGAAAGAAGCCAGACAAGAAGGCCACATATTCTATGATTCCATTTATATAAAATAGCTAGAATGGGCAAATTCAGAGAGACTAAAAGTAAATTAATGATTGCCAGAGGCTGAGGCAATGAGGAAGAAGGAGTGACTGCCATGAATATGTGGTTTCTCTTTGGAGTAATGTATACGTTCTACAATCAGATAGTGGTGATGATGTACAACTTTGTGAATACACTAAAAACAAGTGAATTGTACATTTTAAATGGATAACTTTTATATGAATTATATCTCAATAAGCCTCTTATTTTTTAAAAAATTAGATTCCAGCCACTCTCATAAAAAAATCCAGAATTCATTCAAATATTATATCCTTGGGAATTCTTACTAAATTTCTGCCAAAATAGTTGTTTTTCCTTTAAAAAAATTAAAAAAGACAGAATCTCGCTTGGTTCCCCAGGCTCTAGAGTAAAGTGACACAATCAGGTCACTGCAGCCTCAAACTCCTGGGCTCAAGTGATCCTCCTGCCTCAGCTAGGACTATGGGTAGCTAGGACTACAGGCATTCACTTCTATGCTTGGCTAATTTTTTATAGCTGTTTTTCAATTCAAAAAGTGTTTTACTTTATGGAGAGCTGGTGCAGTGGCATGCACTTGCAGTACCAGCTCCTTGGGAGGCTGAGGTGGGAAGATTGCTTGATGCCAGGAGTTTGAGTCAAGCCTAGGCAACATAGCAAGACTTTGTCTATAAAAATATTTATTTTTACTTCATTGAAATTGAATAAAGCTGAGCTTTGTAGGTGACTGGGAAATTCTTTTAGTCTTTCATAAGTCACAGTTTTTTTTGAGACAAAGTCTCACTCTGCTACCCTGGCTGGAGTGCAGTGGCATGGTCTCGGCTCACTGCAACCTCTACCTCCTAAATCCAGGAGATTCTCATGCCTCAGCCTCCCAAGTAGCTGGAATTACAGGCATGTGCAAACACGTCCAGCTAATTTTTGTATTTTTAGTAGAGATGGAGTCTCACCATGTTGCCAGGCTGGTCTACAACTCCTGACTTCAGGTGATCTGCCCACCTCAGCCTTCAAAAATGCTAAGATTACAGGTGTGAGCCACGATGCCCAGCCACAAATTTTTAACATATGTAATTTATATGCGTAAATGTTATGTTTGTTTTATAAATCAAATTTTTAACATACATAACCATCATTCATATATATTCATATACCCCATTTTTCAGTATTTACATAGAGACAGAAAGAAAGAAAGAGAACCTGAGACCACTACTAAGGCTTATATATGAAGATGAGCAGAGTGAACAGAGAAGGCTGAAATATAAACTAAGGCAGAAACTTAAGCAAATGATCAGGCCTAAGCTTGGAACAGACATTAATATGGTTTAAATACGAGGTCACATATTTTGAATATTCCGATTCAGCATCAAGAAATGCAAATATGTCATATTGTATAGAACACATACACATACAAAAAGGCCTATGACAACAATATACCTCACAGTCTCTTTCTTAGCATTTTTCTTAAGTGCTAACATCTCCCCACACACATATATGACTGGACCAAATAAGACTGTCTTATACTGAGAATTATGACAGTAGAATGTAATATTAGTACTTTGTCTTGGTGACAAGCTTGACTGTTTGAATCACTGACAAAATTTTTTAAATTGCTATTGCTTAAATTCTCAGTTGGGGAAGCTTCAGCAGGAAAAGCATCCCGCAGCCTTGCGCAGCACATTCCTGGACCAGGTAGTATAGAAGGAATGAAAGGCGCTGCTGGAGGGGTGATGGGAGAGCTGACCCGTGCACGGATTGCACTTGATGAAAGAGGACAGAGGCTAGGAGAGCTGGAAGAGAAAACTGCAGGCATGATGACCAGTGCAGAAGCATTTTCCAAACATGCACATGAGGTAAACTGCCTAAGTAAATACAGACATCTTCATACAGGAGTAACTTTAAGCATTTAGGCTCTGCACAAGAAAGAGATTCTTGTGCTTCAGCCTCCCAAGTAGCTGGGACAACAGGGATTATCCACATAGGTAATCCTGTTTTAGAATCATGAAAACCTGGATCTCTTTGAGTATTATAACTCCCCCAATGCTTGGGAGATAGAAATGTTTTTTAAAAAACTTTAATGTATTGATACTTCTTTATCTTAGGGGATAATTAAAGAAAATTATCCATTGGGTTCTGATACATTGGGTCTATATTGTGCATCAGCTGCCTAAAAGGTGTTTCAGTAGGTTATATGACCCCACAACACACCCACCAAGAAGGTGTGGGGGGCAGTGGAGGATGGGATCCACATCTTGCATTTTGTCTCATCATTAAAAACCATTTTCCATCAGCTGAGTCTTTACAGCTTGTTTTTTTATTTTTAAAGTCTTCTCATATGCACTTTATTTCACAAAATAAAAGAAGCCATTCAGTTTGATTATAAGTTTTGAGATTAGTTAGATTTGCATGATTAGCTCAAAATGGGCTTGCTTTTAATAGCACTTTTAAAGTATTTTAGCATCTTACGGTGGCTATTTTTTCTTTGCAGTTAATGCTGAAATACAAGGATAAGAAATGGTACCAATTCTAAACTTCTAAAGAAGCTGTGACTGCTTTGAGAAACCATATTCAGGGAACCAAATTTATTCCCAGCATCACTATTCAACTGCTAGAAGCCAGTTTCTTCTACAAAATGTTCCATTTACAGTCAATCTGAAATTATCTTAAAGGAGATGTATCAGAGACACTATACAACCCAAAGGCTGGAGCCCTGGTTAAAATCCCAAGATATGGCTGATTTTGCCTTTTCCCTTGTGGAATGGAGCTATCATCTTGGCATGTCATTCGATAAGGATTTATATTTAGGAACTAAGGGGAGTCCTCTTGATTTGAAAATTCCTGTACAAACAAAAGCATTAATGCACTTAATGAAAAAAATCTTTGCATGATAAATTAACATCTTAAGAGGAAAAGAAAAAAAAGCATGTTGTGACAGAAGAAAAAAAGATTCACAGTAAACTATTTCTATTAATTGGGCCAAACTCAACAATTTTAAAAATCTGCATTTGAAGATATCAGTGCATTTCAAATATATTTGCCATACCCAACTGAAAAGGAAAACAAAACAAAACAAGAACCCAGAGTTTTCGCATCTGTAACTTTCATTGTACTAGAACATTATTGAATGCTTATGGCAAGAGTCTGATTAATGTTCTCTCTCCATGTTTTACATCATTCAGAGTTCTAGTCATAATCAAATATTGCCAGCCAGTATAGTAAGTTATTTCCAACACAATTATTTTCATTTCTATCACCTTCAGAATGGGTTGCTGTTTTTAGCACAAATCATGAACGGTTGGGTCACCTCAAAGCATTTTCTTTAGCCTGGCTTATATTCTATATAGGGAAGTTGGTAGTAGGTTTGGGGAAACTATAGGAATAATAGAGTTAGCTATGAGAACTGACTTCACAAAAAGTGAAGTTTCACATACCCCAATTTCAGTTTCTAAAGTGATATATTTTTAAAGCTTAATTTGTATCCTTGTCTGCCAGTTACACAGTATATTATGTTCAAACCCGGTAAGGTCTGTAACCCGAAAGTGCTCTTGCAGCCTGACATTCACAAACCAAACTGGTCATTCTCTTTAGTGTGATTCAGTAAAACCTCAGTTAATGTTTTAAGAAAGGGATTCTGATTTATGACGTTTCTGATTTACAAGGGCTTTCATTAGAAAATACTTTTCAGTTCAATACTTACCCCTGGATATTTTAATAAAATATGGTGATGTGTTTGCTATCTTGGCCTCTCTCATCATTACAGACAACAAAAATACATAAAGAGTTTAATGATATAAAATCAATTATTTTGTCACTAGGTTGAATAATATAAGCCACCAGATTATGTCAATAGATGCCAAACACCTGTCCCTTGTTAAAAACTCTTTTAAGCTGGAATAAAGACTATCCTTAACAAGATACAAGGTATCTGTCTTAACTCACCGGAAAGCACTAGAGTCAAAACAAAATAAAGGCATCTACCACCATTTAACATAATTCTGGAAGTTGAAAGTTATAGGAATGTATATATACATACTCCAGTACTCATCCTGTAATATGTTGTTCTTTCAAAACATGTTTAATTAGCACAAACCATGAACGGTTGGGTCACCTCAAAGCATTTTCTTTAGCCTGGCTTATATTCTATAGGGAAGTTGGTAGTAGGTTTGGGGAAACTATAGGAATAATAGAGTTAGCTATGAGAACTGACTTCACAAAAAGTGAAGTTTCACATACCCCAATTTCAGTTTCTAAAGTTATATATTTTTAAAGCTTAATTTGTATCCTTGTCTGCCAGTTTAACATAATTCAGTTTTGGCTTATTAAATTTTTGTTAATCAAGGTCTTATTGGATTTACATTTATGTTTCTGAAGACTTCATCATTTTCCTGGATTTCAGGTTATTTTAATAGCCAAAAATGGTATTTGTATTTCCTTTTTAGTCTAATTTTTTGCTAGAAATAGTACTTTCTAACAAATGTTTCTAGTAGTACAATGTTGTTAGTAATTTTGGGAAGAAAAAAGATGAGTGAAAGAGTTATATAACGTACACTAGGATAGCATTTCTCAGAGTCCATGAATCTACTTGTTAAAAAAGCCTCTCTGTGAATCTCCCAGTCACCTGAGAGATTAGGCAGATTAAGCTTCATTGTTCAGCCTTACAGTCACAGAATCTGGCTTGGAAACACAGACATTGCATGACTGTATCATTTATAAAATTATATGGTAAAAATATTAAAGAAACTTAAGATTGGGGTCTAGAAAATACTGGTTGCCAAATTGTATATATTATTTGTACCATCAACTTCAAGGACTTAGTTTTCTGATTTTCAGAACAAATACTATCATTTCTATATTTAAAAAAAGACTAAAGGAGTAAAATATTCGTTTATTTTAGAAATAATGAAATTCAGTCCAAAGTAGCATTACATTTGATGAGTATCTCTGAAGCCCTCAATAAGATTTAACTTATTTTAACTTGTTCTACATTAAGATTTCTCAATATTAGCAGAAATTCTTTCTGCACTATTAGCAGAAAGTCTTTGTTGTGGGAAACTGTCCTGTGTATTGTGAGTGACATCCCTGGCCTCTGTCTACTAGATGCCAGTAGGAAACTCCTAGTAATGACAATCAAAATGTCTCCAGCCATTGCCAAAATTTATCCCAGTTTACAGCCACTATTCTACATCATATAAAGAGGTAGATTATGTGAATATGTAATAAATGTTGTACAATAAGTATACAATCTTACCAAGATAAATTATTATACCCAAAATTACACATGTGGTTCATATGCAATAACATAGAATTTTGAAGAAAGCTTATATGTATCAGTGAAAAATAACAACTACAGAATATTTTAGGGCACACAGAGAAAATATCAAAAAAGGACATTGTAGCATTTCACAGTAGAAGTGCCCAAGACTTTGCCTTCAGTGAATAGATCAAAAGTTTATAATTAGCATGCCAATTGGAAGTAAACAGGTGCTTCTAAAATGCTTGAAAAGAAAAGGTTCTTTGAAGTCATTTAAACGTGTCTTTCAAAATTGTTTTTATAAGCCCTTCCTTAACATTAAGGGTAACTTCATCTCACAAACTCCTGTTACTGGAATCCAAATTAATGAGGTTTTACTGTATCAAAATTATTTTTATAATTCAAAGAGATAGCAATAACAAGAATCTAATGTGGATGTGATTTTTCTTTTTGAACATTTCTGTTCTGCTGCACTGACCTTAGCATGCATACATGTGCATACACACACACACACACCCCATCGCAATCACCATCACCATCACTATCACCATCACCACCACCACCACCACCATCATCATCTTATCCTCATCTTTGGAAAATGAGTACTGTTGATCCATGTAATCCTTTGCATCATCTCATCTTTACTTTCTTCCATTTTGGAACATAAGAAAAATACTCCTAGTAACTTGGACAATGATACAGAAAGTGACCCTGAGCCTTAGTTATCACTGAAATTACACTCTATCTGCTAAAGCAACATCAGAAGATAAGGCTTGCAAACCACAGTCCCAAAATTGTCTCCCTGATTCCTTCAAGAGATAAGCCCTTTTTAGTGTTACAGCAGAAAATGGGCCTTCTCATTCTATTCATCAATGAGAAGCTAGAAGTATTTGTTTTCCTGATAGTAACATGGGCAATAATCCCTACCTTGAAATCATCCATTAATCTGGGAGTTTGGAGGGAGGGATGATTGATTTGTCATTTGTTTTAATCACCTATGGGCAGTATTACTGACTTTGCTTCTTACACTTTACTGAGCCCCAGATCTTAGAGCCCCAGTCACTGTCAAGATCATGTTTGACTGCAACTTTGGAAGGACAGTGACAGAACTGAATGAGATGTTTTCCAATGATTCAGTCACGAAGACAATTTTTTCAAATCTTTTGAAAGTGATTCTCAAATTAATAAATCAAAATCCAAGGGATTCCCTCAAAGTTTTTACAGATCTTAAAGGAAAACGTTTACTGTTGGAGTCCTTTTTATGTGACTCATGTACCAGTTTTAAAGGTACCATATACTTTATCTACCTTAAGGGAACACCATTACTTTAAGAGAAAAAAGAATCAGATTAGGCCTAAGACTGGTTGAAGAAGATTAAAGGAGATTCTTATGTTCAAGCAGAAGGGAAAAATGAAGCCAATCTAGAAAAGTAAGCTAAAAATTATCTCCTTGGCTTAGGATCACTGGGACAACCTGGGAGTATATCTGTGTGATTACAACCTGCCACTATGAGAAAAAGAACTGTAACCTGAACATGTTGGCTCACAGAGGGTAATGCCAAAAGAATTCAAAACATTCATGACAGGTCTCGGTCTTGGTGTCAGGAGAAACGTGGTAGCTTCCACAGCTTCTTCACCTCTGTCCTCTGTCACACAACTCCATTTTTGTCTGGGTACTATTTCACATACACATTGTCCTGGATGCCAGAAATACTTGTGGTATACTTGGTTTGGGCAGAATCTCTAGTATACACATTCCAGGGAACATGGTTGTCAACATAACAAGTTTAGTGTATGTATTTGTAGACAACATAGCCCTAAAAGCATAAAATATAGAATAGGTAAGGTCTGTCTTGGGAAAGGAGGAGGAAATACCACTTTGGTGCAAGAAGATTGTGGTAGAAAGGACATGGTAGCCAGAGTGAAGTGAAAGAGACTTTGAGGAATCAGATGCACAGATGGATGCTTTTATTTACTTATTTATCTAGAGAAGTGCTTCTCAACCTTGGCTGTACATAAGAATCACCTCAGGAAACTGTAAAATTCCCAATCTTATTAAAATCCTTTGAAGTGGGAACTAGACACCAATGTCTGTGAAAGCCTCCAAGGTGGTTCTAATATCCAGCCAAAGTTGATTATCCCTGTTTTATGACCACCTAAGGAAAACCTGTTTGTCTGCCTTGGCTGTTATTGCAGCCCCAGTTCTGAGTGGTCAGGGAAGGCTAGTTGTAAGATATAGTAATGGTATTTATTCTGTATGTCTCACAGAACAAAAGTATGTGAGAATTTCTGACCAGGCAGCTCTCTATTAAATCTTAATAAGCATCTCTGTGATATTCTCCTATGTGACTTGTTCATTAGTTATTCCAGCTGAAAGGTCTAGTTTTTTTCAATTGTCTTACGCGTATGACATCACAAGATACCAGAAGTAGCACAGTAAATTCGACAGCATTATAAAGCTAAGTGGAAAACTAATTCTTCATATTTAGACAGTGGAAATTCTCAAAACAATCATTTGCTAAATCAGGTCCAAATTTCTGTTTCATTATTCTTCTGGAGGAGACATGGGTACCAGGTATCTGTTCTGCTATAGGTATATTTCATTGGACTTCGTCTTAGCAAAAAGGAAGAACAAATCTTCCTTTTTATTATCTCAATCAAAAGCTCCCAGGACAACTTGGATTTATTTTTTTAGTATTTGGACATGTGTTTAAGAGAAAAGAATAACTGTAACTTCTTATATGATGTCCAGTGCCCTGAAAGAGTGCTTACACCTTCAAAACAGGAGAGTCCAGCCTGTCAAAGGCAGTAACATATAACGAGAATTTAGAGTTATCTCCTCTCATACTGCTTTCCCTCTGCTATTGGCCCACCCTTCTCGACTGCAAAGCCAGAAAGTAAACTAGGTGGTGGTTTTGGACAATTGTACACAGGATCAGAATCTCTAATAACCTATAATTTTTAGTACTTAACTATGTGATGTTTTATTCTAGGAAATAAGAAACAGATGACATCATTGATGTATCTTTCTTTCATCTTCAGAATTTTTGCATCTTTTCAGAAAATGACAAATTACTATTTTTCTGTTGCACTCAGCAATTGTGACTATACTTAACAAAATTCTTGTAGTCTGTAGAGATATCAATAAAATTGTATATGTTTGTACATAGATGCTCTCTTATGTCATAATGTCATGCACTAATAATTTTTGCCAAGATTACATATGGACAGAGGTAAGACCCATTTATAAGACTATGAACTATGGTTTTGCAAAGTGTAACTGTTTTAAAAAGGCAGGAAGGGGGCGGGAGAGCAATGTATAGCAAATCTATCAAATACAACTTCCCAAAACTCATACATTTCACTAGCATTCATTAACCCAGTAGCCATTCAAAATCTCCGTCAAATTGAGGAAATGTGTTACTTTTTATGGAAAGACTTGAAAGACAACTTTTGATGGTGTTGATTGAATCCACTTTCAGTGAAGTACAAGTAAAAATAATTTAGTAATAATGCAGCAAAAGAAATCAAGGGGGATAAGATGTACCTACAAACTCAACATTCAGACCTTACTTCTCACTTCTTTTCAGCTCCAGCTTTGTCTTCAGCCAGGAAGAAAAATTAAGCTACTATGGGCTTATTTCATCTCCTAGTAGTTATGATAAACATTCATTAACTCAAGACCTCCAACAGTTCTCTGGAGAGTGTTGTCTCCTGCACCTCTGGCTTTCATCAGCATAGTTAATTCCTCTTCAGGCACTTTCCTCATATTTATGTAGACTCTGGCTGTAAACAACTGGCTTTCTTCTTCTAAATCCTGTCTAATTTAATCGCAGGAAAATTTCCCCCCCACCATAATATTTCTTCTAATTTTGGTTCCATATAAAAATTGAAAAACAGCAAACAAGCTCAAGGCTAAAAAACATGTTGATTAAAAATACAAATATACATTTACCTTATTATTTTTGAATTACAATAACTTAGGCTTCAGATACCTGCATTCAATATTTGAAATACTGATTGGACTTCCTTTCTTCCTCCTTCCCTTCCTTCCTGTTTCTTCCTCACCCCCTCTCTCCCTCTGTTCCCTACTTCCCTTTCTTCTCCTCCCTTCCTTTCTTCTGTCTTTCCTTTCATTCATTCACTCCAAAAGTCAGCCACACTCACAAAGGCTGGTGATGGCAGCTCCATACAAAGACTGCACTGGAGTAGAGGGAGGAGACAGCCCTGGAGTGAAGTGGCAGGGTCAACTCTTCAATGGTCAGTGATGGCATGTGATGTTGGCATTGGAGCAGGGCAGAAGGCAGCCCAGTGGGGTCAGGAGGTTGGCTACATACAGGACATTAAGCAATTAATAAGCATATTGAGACTATGGGAGCCAGGTTTCTCACTGCTGGAGAGCAAAGAAAGGAAAAATTAAAAGGGAAAGCTAGAATAAACCCTGTAGTATTAGATTAGAATTGGAACTATCAGTGTAAATTTTTACATAAATACAAAGTGTGTATATATAATGTATACAAATATATATGAGTATCACTATATAATTTACATATTTGATATAAAGGTGTGTGCCTGTGTTTTATATATATATATATATACACATATATATATGTATATATATATATATATACATATATATATATTTCTTAAATCTGCACATCTAGAGGACAGAGAGCAAGCCCCTTACCCCCTGGAGCAATGAGCACAGCTAGTGCCTGGATATTTATTTCTAATTACTGTTCTCTACTAAAAGGAACTGGAGCTCCCTGTAGAAATGTCTAGTTTCAAGGCTAGAACATGTCTGTGTCAGAAAATAAAGTATTCAAATAATAACAGGGACATGTCAAAAGGACATAGCAGCTACCTTAAAGCTACACAGCACAAATCAGGTACAATTTGAGCATCAAGGCCAGGTGTGGTGGCTCATTCCTATAACCCCAGCACTTTGGGAGGCCAAGGTAGGAGGATTGCTTAAGGCCAGGAATTCAAGACCAGCCTGGGCATCATGTAAGACCCTGTCTCTACAAAAAAATAAAATATAACAATAATAAGAAGAAGAAGAAAAGAAAAAGGAAAAAGCATTAAAAGTCATAACAGTAACTTAATAAGTACCCACTAGTCTACATTGATATAAATAAGAGGGGAAAGTGAAACTCTTCCTTACAATAGAATGTCAACAAATAAAGAAATGTAGATGGAATTTAAAAATTACCATTTGGCAACCATTATCGGAATGACTTGGGCAACAAATACCACGAGATGCTGACACTAGTGAGGTAAAGTGGGATAGAGGAAGAGGATATTTTCATAGTCTCAAAATGTCTTCACAAAAAAAAATTCCTAATCATAAAGAAAAACAACTAGAGAAACATGGCAGACACCATCTTAATCAAGTGATCAAAGTTCCCACCACCAGCAAGGGAACAAATCAACATCATGTGCCACCTGACAGGATGCAGTGAGAACCCAGCATCACCTCTGCAATATTCCTGCCAAAAACACACAATCAAGTTCTAATCATAAGACAATAAGCAAAACCAAATTGAATGACATTCTATAAAATATCTGCCCTCTATTACAAATTTTCAGTGTCGTGAAAGTCAAGGAAAGATGTTTGTTCCGGATTTAAGTAGACTAGACAGTCATGGCAACTAGGTGCAACTCTTAATCTTGGATTGGACGCTTATAAATGACATAAGTGGAGCAGTTAACAAAACTTGAGTGGTGATTTCTGACTTGATTGGGATTCTTTGTACTATTCTTCAAGCTTTTACCTGGGTTTTGAATTATCTCAAAATAAAATTATAAAAATAAAATATTTCCAATCTTGTCGCATTACTTGTAGTTCGATGGCATTGTTGTCTACCTTTCATAGCAAATGGACAACCACTTTATGGCTTAAAGAATGGTCTTGTGAGCTGGTTTGGAAATCCAACCATTATTTAAACATTTTTTTAAATGTGTTTTAATTGCACAAATGATACATAAATGCATAGTGTAATAGTCATATAAATTTGGACAATGTTAAATATTTCCCTTGGCTACCTCCCACTCATCTAAATTAACGAGTTATTAGTTTGTTGTGTTTCCTTCTAAATATTTTTCTATGCTGCAACGTGGTTATTCATGTCTCCACTATGTCCCCGATTGTTCCATGTTGGTACCTATGATTCATTCTTTTTCACTCACTTATATTATCCCATGGTGTCAGCCATAACTTGTTACCACACTTTTACTAGTATTTATTTTCCAGTCTCTTGATTTTATGAACAAGACTGCAGTGAACATTTACACGTGTATTTTGCATATGTGCAAGTGTTTCTCTAGGTAAGATGTTAAGTGGAATTGCTGAATTAAAGGGCATGCTCGTTTAAACAATTTAAATAGATGTTGACTTTTCTTCTACCAGTGTATTAAAAAAATAATTTAAAAATTATTCTTCTGCCCAGTGAATCTTAAGATATTATCTATCTAAAAACATATAAAATCCTGATGAGACTTTGATGGAATTACAGTAAGTTATAGATTAAAAAATAATGAAGTTTTTTGTTGGCATCACTTCCTCTGGGACATCTTTATCCTTTTCTCACAACCATTGTCCTCATTTGTGTTAACTGAGCCTTCACTGTTTCTCAGGTCACAATCTACAGCCTCTCAAACAGCAGCAGTGTCAGCATGCCCAGGCAGCTAGTTCTTCTGTAATTCCATTTATGTTCAATTTGACTTTCACTTCCAGTGTTATCATTTTTATTCCTCTGCTACACTTTCATCTTTATTAGCCAATTTCCACTTTTGATTATCCATTTTTATAGAATGCGGATTTACCGTTTGGAGACAAGCAATCAACACAACTATACTTTGCCATCTGTAAGTAAAGTGAATAACAGATGTGAAGTGACCCATCATAGACAGCCTTTGAAAGAATGATGTATTTGGTCCCATCATGATGCATGTATGAATTTCCTATTACTGCTATAACCAATTCCACAAACTTACAAGCTCAAAGCAATTCAAATTATTCTCTTGCAGTTTTAAAGAGCAGAAGTCCAAAATGGTCTTATCTGGGCTAGAGTCAAGGTGTTGGCAGGGATACATCCCTTCAGAAGGTTCTAGGAGAGAATCCATTTCCTTACCTTTTCCAACTTTTAGAGGGTTCCTGCATTCCTTGGCACCTGGCCCCTTCTTCCAACTGTAAAGCCAGCAGTGTAGCATCTTCAAATCATTCTCTGTTTCTTTGTCACATCTTCCCTGACTCTGACCATCTTCTTCCCTCTTATAAAGACCCTGGTGATTACAATGGAACCATTCAGATAATCCAGGATAATCACCCACCTCAAGATCTCTAACTTAATCACATCAACAAGGTCCCTTTTGCCATGGAATATAACAGTTCATAGGTTTTAGGAATTAAGATGTGAACTTTGGGGTGGGGGGCATTATTCTGCCTAACACATGTGCATTTCTTATTTACATGGTGGTTGTGATTTGAAGAAATATTCATGAAGTTTGAATCTCATGCAATTACTCATAGTCAATATCCACCGGTAACTGAAATTTGAATTGTGTTGCAGGGGGGCTTGTGTTATTAAGTAAACGATAGTAACTGGGATTTGTGCATATCTGAATCATGCAAAGTGGGGAGGGCCTGTTTCAGGTCCAGTTGAAGGTCAAACAATGAGAAATTGCATGTGACTACACACACTGGCCCACGGCTGCAGAGAATGAGGCAGAAGTGACTTTCGTTTGCTCTCATGTTTGAAGAACACTCACAGGTAAACAGATTGAGCTTTCTCTTGTGCCAGATCTTTCAAGTCTACCAGAATACTGATAGCACTTCAGCTTTTAAGAAAGTTAAGAAACACTGTAGGTAAATATGGAAAAAACTCAAGAAAGAATGGTATCTTTCCTCTTATTGCTGCCATCTCTGCCCTCCTCGATGCCCCCAAAAAATTATGTCTAAGTTTCTTATGCATTAATACCCAACTACTGATAATGCATTACACATTATAAAGCAAATATCTTTTTTCCTTATTATTAATAAACATAAAAGGGCTGTTCTGATAACTGATTAAGAATATAATCGGTGCTTCCTCTGTACTCAGATGTTGCTGAACAAGCTATGGAGTGAGTTTCTGACAATCTTAGCCCAACTACCATTTTAAACAAAACAACTGTTGATATAAAGTTTCTCGTGAATTCTTTTTATTTCAACAGCAAAAAGATCAGCTCCATACCTCTGATTGAGATTACAAAATATAATCTTTTCAGCATGGGTTTTCTTACCATGCCACAAATAGAAAGAGGCACTAAGGGAGTGAGAAGAGGGTATTTTCCATATCTGGGAGTATTATATTTACCTGCAATAAAAACATCTGATCTTACAGAACAGGATACCTCTTGAAGAGGTTTAGTTTATTTGATAAGATGTAAGTATTCCAAATACATTCATTGTATGAATTAGGGAAGGAAAAGCAGTAAGAAACATTACATGCATATTCATTCCTAGACTTCAGCCATACCAAGTCTTACCACTTTATAGAATTCATCATTTATTAGCCAATACTATTTTAAAATACGATTTCAGTACTCTAAAATTGATAGTAGAGGGAAAAGAAGTCACACACAATGCCTGCCACCACCAGGGTGAAACCAAATCTTTATCCACCTATGGCTCCTGTCAGGGTCAGCAGAGGCAGCAGCTTCATTTTCTTCATGGTTTACCCAGACAGAGCCAAAGTGCCAAGTGCATATTTCAAGCATCTGTTCTGAATATGTTTAAAGCCATGACAAATTACAAAAGGCAAATTCATAGATGCTCTTTGAAAGTGTAACTATTATACTTGGTATTTCACTTCCCCTAACCCCCAAAAGTTTTTGATGCTGCAAAGAATAGACCCTGATACATAGTTTGAAACTCTCACTATAAAATTACTAGGCTAAGTCTATCAAGGCTTGAAAGTTTGTTTTCCTGAGGTAGGTGAAAGGGTCACCTCTGTTCTTTCCAGGTGACTATATCACACAGGCTTCCCTGGGAGGACTTCATCAACAGCACAGTTACATATCAAAGTCCTTCAGCTCTCCCCAGCTGGCACCTATTTTCACTTTCACTTTCAATTTTACAGACAGTTTTACAGCACTTTCCATTTCATTCTTGACAATCTGAGCTACCTAAAAAAAAAAAAAAAAAAAAAAAAAAAAAAAAACGAGGTTAACAAACTCTGTGTCCAGTCAAAGAATGTTTCCCAACCCACCCACTGAGTACATTATAAACCAGGCTGGAGCTCTTCACCCAGTGGTGCTTGAAATGCTAGATCAGAAAATAAAAAACCAGTCATCTCAAACTCTTCTTCACTGATGAGCAGGAGTTTCTGACACTTTTTGCTAGAATGCTTGGAGCTTAGAAACCCTCAGGGAAAAACTGCAAATTTTTGTTCAATTTCTCTAAGACAAAAACATCTCTGCATTGGCAATTTCTTAACTTATTAAGAATTGGTACAAAATGGAACACTCTTAGCTCCTTTTCTACCCATAAGGACTCAATATTTACACAGTCATCCTGGGGCTAGGGTAGAATTCCAAAATCCTCATGCATAGGGAAAAAAGCTGTCAGCCCTACAATACAGTGTCTTGGCTTCCTATGGAATGGACACAAGCATTGCAAAAATACCTGAACAACATCTTCTTCTGCCACTTCATATAAGAGTTCATCATGGAGTTGAAGGATGAAGAAGCCTCCTCTGATTGGGCAGAACATCCCTTGCAGTTTTCTCTTTGGTAACAATCCTACTTCACAAAAAAGTAGCAATACTGATCAGCATGTTGCTGTGTCATAGAATATTATTAGAGATTCTGAGTAACTCTGAGGAATTTTAATCAAGAGATCAAAACACACAAGACTAAGAACTATCAGGAACATAACTACTTCCTGGTTGCTACCTACCCTACCTATCTGGCATAAACTCATCAACTTCCTCCCAGAAAGAGAAAGTCTCACAAAGAAGTCAGTAAATGGGGTGTAAAGAACTCTGCTCCAAACTCTAGTCCGACTTATTTCTCATGAACAATATTTTCTCATTCCATGGAGTCCCCCTACCACCATCTGAGTGTAATAACACCAGGGAGGTATGGGGCCTGATTCCTGCCCCAGAAAAGCAAATTAGTATTGTCAGGCAGTGCTTCTTAAGGGGGAAACTCCCTCATGTCTTTGTATGGCCAGAAGTGTCACTGTGATAGAACTGGTGCTTCCCCAATTGGACCGTACACTCTAAACAAGTAATTCTAAACCTGGGCTCCCAATGTGAACTTCAGAGAGTATGTAAACCCCTTGCATTATATGTAAGAGTCTATGTCTGTAAGTTTTTCTATGGAGATAATCCATACCTTCCAGTAGCCATAACTCCAGAATATATATTAGACTTAGTCACTATTTCCTCATTAGCTGGACCTAGTGGTACAGATTATGCTCTTCTTAACACAAAGATAAAGCTCAACATAAACACCTTTACTGGAACTGCTTTTACCTGTTTGCTTAAACCTCACAGCAGTTATCTTCCTTTCTGCTGTCTAAATTCCCTATTTATCTTTCAGGCCCAGCATGAGTACCAACTCCCTCAGTATATCTGGTGCTTCTCTCTGAGGGAGAGAGAGTTCTTCAACTGTCACTATATGCAGTGCCAGTTTGCTCAGAGGCGGCTCTCACACAGTAGCCAAACACAAGCACCCGAGGCTGGAGCAAGCTGCTTCCACACCAGGACTGCAAAGGCGGTACCTCTGTTCACCAGTTTGGCTGAAGTCTGATCTGCCCCGTGAAGTCACA